CAGATGTGCGAGGATTCTCCAACGATAGACGTGTACGTGTGCTGATCTTTGTAATTATAAATTGTGAATACATGTGACTAATATTATTTTCTTTTTTATTTTGTGCATGTTACAAGTTATAAATAAATATAAACAAACAACACTAACTCGATAACATTAAATCTAAATACCAAAACGATTAATTTACTGTGTTTTTGTTATTTATTACTCCTGTTTTTAGGTATTCGGTATTCGGCCGAATAGTGATTAGATATTCGGTATTCGGCCGAATAGTGAAAAATAGGCCGAATAGGCCGAATACCGAATAGTAACCGAATATTCGTTACATCACTAATATATACAGTATCTACATATATATGTAATACGTTTGAAGTTTTGTTAAAAAATATTTAATACTGTTTTAATTTCTGATTTATATGATATATAACACCTTATCACGTACAACGTATTTAACTATACATGTGATATTTCATTGTAATAAAAATCTATACAAGATAATTACTTTAAGTATTTGAAGACAAAGTCCGCCCAAATAGGGAACACCATTTAATAATTTCGTGTTCCAGACTGTACAATCTCGACGGCCGACCTTCCTTTTTAGGCCATTAGCCGTTAAAACGTCCTTTAAAAACACAAAAAATACATCCAATTAAAACGGCCTCAAAAAACTATGGATAAAAATCAGAAGACGTCCGTACGTCACCAGTTCCTTTTTCAGAAAATCTTTGTATTTTTAATTGGATATATTTTGTTTTACTGTTTTAAAAGGCTGCATGCGGCTCGCGGGCTAGACTTCGCTGCTCTACACCACGATATAGTGTTGGATTTTTCTTTGAAGGGTTTCCCAAGCAATTTAAATATTTCGGGGTCCCTTGCAACTAAAAAGGAAGTCAGAAGAAAAGCAGAAACGGAAAGATTTAAACTACGAAACTACGAGCGCTAAGTTTTTCGTTGGCAAATATGGTTTATTGGACCATTCCGAATACAATCGTCGCGCCCGTCTTAATTATTTGAGTAATTAACAAATACTTTTTTTTTTTTTTTAAATTCTTGAGTTGGCCCTTATTCGGGCTCTTCTAGATTCGCTAATGGTGGAAACAAAGACGTAAGTACAGTATTATTATTTGGTAATGAATTTTAACGTTTTCGAGTATCCTAGCTGCATAGAACTCTGAAGACACGAAGTGGACAGAATCGAATACAGTACCATTTACAACTCTCAGGACGATCTTCTTACTTCGGATAAGGAAGTTTAATGTGACAGTCCCGAAGCAGCTCAAGACAAATCGTCTGCATTTACTAAAATTAAATTTGATTTTATTTTATAGGGCGATAATTCCCAATACGTTCATATTTTCAAGAAGCTTTTCGTGTTTACTATACTTTTTGCCAAATTAAAATTATTATACGTGTGATCTGCTATTTCGACAACTTCGACATCCGTAAGTTTATAAATATCACAAACTTTGGATGCATTGTCAGTGCCATAACTAGGCAGGTGCAACAGGTGCACCCGCGCAGGGCCCACTTGGAAGAGGGACCCAAAATGTGTGTATTTGTTTTATTACTTTCCCAAATCTAATTAAGAGGCCTAAATGCAAATTCCTGCACAGGGCACAGGAATGGCTACTTACGGCACTGTGCATTGTTATAATTTGGGATGGCACAACCAAGTTAACTTAAATTTTATTCGTGTCCTCGTAACTCTGTTCGAATTTCTTCTATTTATTAAAACATTTATAAAAATGAAAAACAAGCTTTTTACAATAACTCGTCCAACTGTTTAAAACGGAAACCCACCAAACTGGAAAAATATTCGTTACTGTACGGGTCCAGTTTACACAGGTTTTACGATAGAGCAATTTGGTTAGCACGGTTTTAAATCTTGTGTACACAGTTAAATGCGGCTGTGGTCGGCATGCAAACGCTTCGACTCCCATTTCCGTGTCAATTTGATATAATTTTTATATCTGAATAGGCGTCGAGTCGCATGCGTTCTAACAATTATCCTGTTAACTGAGTAGGTCCGTTTTTACCGACTCCGGTAACTCAAGAATTACCTTCTATTCCGACTTGGCGGCCCTGCCCTATTTTAATGGTTTTAAACCAGAGTGAATGCAGGACCTCCATTGTAAATGTATTTTTTTTTGTTTTACTGTTTTATAATGGAAAAAATGATAAAACCATTTGGTATTTCAACGAGTTTTTAAGCTACAAGATATCTAAAATTAATGAAAATTTGTAATTGATAAAATTCCACACGATTCCAACTACCGAAAGTCGTGTATATAGTGTATAAAGAATAAAAAAAATTTGGTTCTAAAATAATTTCTAAGAGAACAAATTAAAAGTTTATATTTCTTATAGAAGATTCATAAAAACGTTCCTTGGTATGTGTGTTACCGCTAAAGCTCGAAAGTCGTTAATGTGTACATTACCTAGCTAATCTGCATATTAACTAGGGTGATCCGTTAAAGTTGTGAAAATTGTTCTATTTCTTAAATTACCTAGATAATGTGCAGAGTATCTAGGTAATCCGCACATTACTCGGTGAAGTGAAAATAAGATCTTTGCGGCAAATAACTGTACCACAAATAGGTGTGCTTGTCGCAAAAACCAATTGCTATGAAATTCAAAGTGTCACCAATCTTTAGACTGCACTAATAAGTAAGCACAATTGGATAATGTTACCTATGGTGAGTAAAATGGCGGCTCGTCTCTGATTCCAGCAAAGAGAAGAAAGGAAACAGTGGGGACGCACGTTCAAACCTAACCTAACCTATTCTAATAATTTGGTTGGTAATAATTATGGTAATTTATTAGAATAGGTTAGGTTAGGTTAGAACGTGCGTCCCCACTGTTTCCTTTCTTCTGTTTGCTGGAATCAGAGACGAGCCGCCATTTTACTCACCATAGGTAACATTAACTGCACAATTATATCATGCGATCACCAGAAAAAGTATGATAACTTTATTATTTTTCGTCTCCGGTCCAAAAGTAGGGTATCGTTGAAGTCGTCTCGGTCCCCTCAGTTCAGATAGATACTCAAAGTCCCGAAATTCCATAGGTGGTTATCTATATAATAATTTCCCTAATTGTATTAATATTTTAAATCGTTTGATTTTTTGTATGTTTTTTAATTGGTTGATGATTGATTCTATCAACTAATTTGTCGATTGTTTGATTGTATTAACTTGATTCTTTAGATATCGAAAATTAAATAAAGAACATTATGTTAATTTAAGCGTACAGAAACGTTGCTGTTGTTTCAGCAAAGATCTTATTTTCACTTTACCGAGTGCCTAGTAGGTAATTTGCAGATTACCTAGATAATCTGCACATTACCTAGGTAATTTGAGAAATAGAACAATTTTAGCAACTTTAACGGATCACCCTAGTTAATCTGCAGATTAGCTAGGTAATGTACACATTAACGACTTTCGAGCTTTAGCGGTAACATATGGATATTTTGAAACAACTGTCATCAGAATAAAATTCTGCCATAAAAAAACCAAATTAAGCTTTTTTAGTGTGAACATATCGGTTCTATTGTCTTAAAAATGAATTATATAAGAAGTTAGTCAATCAATCTACAAGGCTGTACAAAAGATTTTATTTGCTATGGTTCGTTTCGGATCCCAGTTTCGATAAACTTGACAGGAATTACATTACTATCGACCGGCACGTTTCCAACGCGCCTGCCGCCAGCTATCTACAATTTGACACTCATTTTGTTATTGACAAAATTTATAATAAGTAATTCCCAAAAAATAATAAATTTACCTTCACCTCGATATTAACAAAACACAAATTTTGTCCAGATAGGCACTGTTCCGATAAGTGTATCTAATTCGTGGCAAGATGATCTCGTGGCCATATCCACATTTGATTTTACACAAAATGGACACTGTACAAGGAATGAAATCCATTCTTATTGGCAGCTATTTTGTTTTTCGTTCGAAATAAATATTAGAGACGGTTTCGTCCAAAAACCGAATTCCAAATCAAGGATTTTAAAAAAAAGCAACAAATATACAAAATATTTCGGAGAAGCTGCACGACCGTTACGAACGACAAAATAAGCTGCCATTTAAATTACTTTGTTCAATTCATTCGACAAAAAGAAATTAAATTGGAGAAGTTTTAATTGAAAATTTTACATGAAATATTGAACCAAACTTGAGCGTTATGGTAAAAATGGATTTTCTGAATTATTAAAACAATTTTAAAATATTTAATAAGTTTTACTTTCAATATCCGAATAACTTTATCTTGACTTAATTTCAATTCTTATATAAAGAAGATTAAAAGTAAATTTACAGAACAAAATCAATGGGTTATATCAATACAATGTTTACAAATAATTATAATTTGAATGATTTAAATATATAAATATAGTTATAATATCAAATTATGGAAATTCTTCAATTTGTTATTTTATCTTTTCTGTCAGACAATAATATTGGAATTAACAGTTCGACTACTATATCTTTAACACGATTTATAAAAAAAAACAAGGAAGTGGTAAGTTTCCCAATTACATAATAAAAACAAACACAAACTTCGGTTGGATTACTTGAAACGTATTCATAGAATAATTTCAAATTTGTGACCTTGAAATCTAGTTTCATAAAATTTTGCCCAAAAACTGGTAAACACGAAGAAGTATTTCGGACTAAAATTATAGTCTGAAATAAGCTGTTGTTAATGATTTACACTGTCCCCTGTACAATGAAATATATTTTCGTCAGAATTTCTGTAATTTCACATAGAAAAAGCAGGAAATTAAGATCTTCCTTTTTGTTTTACTTGAATCCTGCTCACACATGCCATACACTGTACATAGGCTGATAAATCATTTTAAATCAACCTTATTTAAGATATTGGAAGATAATATTACATTCCTAGACTCCCAGGACTGCTAAATACTGATTGTGTTTGAGACATCATTCCAGTTGGTGACATCATTCCGCTCACTGAAGCCGAAGCCACTGTTGCATTTCCCACTGCACCTGTTGAAAAAAATTAAGGTCACACACACATGTATACACATCACTAATATTAAATTTTTCAAAGTAACATATTAATTTTAAATATACCTCCTCTAATTTGAGACTGTCCTAGAGTCATCTGTTGCATGCTCATAGCTACATTATTCACTGTAAAAAATATAAAATATCAATAGTTGTGATATTTTCAGACAGTAAAAGAATTAAAAATACTCTTTGATAGAGCAATAGAAATAGAGAAACTGACTTAAAATACTGCCACTTGATATTCTAATATACTTACCTGCAGCTAATTGATTCATACTTGGAGCTATTGGTTTTTCATACCTACTAGCTAAACTGAGATTGTCAACACTAATATTTACTTTTCCAGCATCACTCCAAGTATTGGCTTTCTAATTTAATAAATGAAAAAAAAGTAAATAAAACAATTTTTTAACTTTAACAATTGTTTAAACTTACCAATGAATTATTCATGACTGACTGATGAGCAGAAATAGGTGGCTATAAATAAAATAAAATTGTATGTAACAAAGAATAATATTTTACAAAATATTCCTATTTAATAAAATAAAAATTTCTTATTTTATTAAAATACTTAAATTCTTATTATTACTACTGTTTAAAAATTCAGCATATAAGAAAACTCCATACACATTTNTATATATATATACACACACACACACACACACACTATAAAAATTGCTAAAATTTAGTAATTTATATATATAAAAATTACTAGAAGCATAGCAATTTTTTAATGAAAAACTTTAAAAAATATATTTAGTGTAATACTTCCATTTGAATAATAAATATATTTAAAATATTAATGAACTAGAAAAATTATTATTTAATTTACATTTTAAAAAAACAAACTGAAGTCTTAAACCAGCCTTTGATTTTGAAAGTGTGGCAAGTCCACTATAAAAAAAAATATGAAGATATGATGGATTTATTACCCTATGTACAGTACCACCCATTTATCATGAATAATCTGCACCATCTAAACTATATAATTAATATAATTATATACATGCAACTTACTACTAAATATTTTTTATATTTCCTCCACTTTTTCCTATAAAATTAAATTTATTTTTTGTTTCATTGTAGCTTCTCAAAAAAAGTATGAAATGTTGAAATAAAATAAATAAAATATTCAATATTTTATTATAACTATATTGCATTCAAAGAAAAGCAATGCTTTCAACAAATCATTGCTTTTGAAAATGAGGCAAGTCACTTGGTGCATACCAAAACCATGATTTTTTTCATCTAATGCAGATAACCATTATTGCATATTAAATTTACACTAAATAAAACCAAAAAAATATAAAATAAGTCTATTACTGCTTACGAATATTTTTAAACTCATTCAAATGCAAACCATTAAGTATACAGCAGCAATAACATAAAATGGACATATCCCACTTTCAAAATCAATGGCTCAAATAATGTTAAAATTGTTCAAAACAAATCATATAGAAGAAAAATTTTCTAAAAATAGAATTTAAAACAATTTTTTTTTTTTGGAAATTCAGAAGCTTGATTAAAAACTTATTTCAGATTAAGTAAAATTTTGTTTCAAGCATATTATAAAATCACACACTTATCTTTATTAAATTAAGTACATATTTGTTTAGAATTGTACTGTCTTTCTAGTCTATTCACAGAATTAACTAACTCTACTTGCAGAAGTGGTTTAAAAAATTTTAGATTCAAATATTATATTTATATCAGTTACTTCACTGTTTATTGAAAGGTAAACATTTATATTTGAATATTTTTATTTGTGAGCATAGGGGGAAAAAACAAGTTTTGAAAGATCAGACTTCTTTTTAATCTAGCAGACAATATACAATTAAAAATAGATAATTTCTTTCCTTCTTATAAAAAAAATGTTTTATAAAAGGAGCGAGAATATTTGACCCTAAGCTAGGAACCATCAGCAGTTACTAAAAAATCAATTATAATTCCTTGAAAAATAGATTAAAAAAATGATAATAATTTCAACTATTCATTAAAGTATCATTAAAAGTATTAATACAAATTATAAAACACTGTGTTTAACAGGAAGCCAGTCAATAAAAAGCACTGTTTCCAAATATAGTGTTTATAAAGAAAATCAATGGGATACAAACTAAACAAGAATAAAAATTATGGATTACTTGAGGACAGTCTATAGATAGTTTTTTATTTAACAGAAATTTAATAAATAAATAACCAAAAAGTATTCAGTTAAGTTTTCAGGATGGTTAAAATCTGATAAATTTATAATAATCATTATTGGTTATGAATGTAACAATATGTTTAAATATCTAATAGAAGAAATGAATAATAACCTGCATCATAGAGTGATTGCCCATCATCATTATATTTCCCATTTGTGGCTGAATAAGTGACATCATTGGAGATTGCATACTCATAATGTTTTGCTGCATGACCATAGGCATTGTGGATACACCACTTGGAGATGGAATCATGCTCGGATGTGAAATTAACGATTGAGGCTGTAATGGATTGTTTACTACTACTTGTTGCATTTGAAGAGGTGGAATGTTGGATGTCTTAAAAGAATCTATAAGATCCATGCTTGGTGGATTTGATGTAGTAGTGGATGAAGTTAATGAAAAAGCAGAGAAATCAGCAAATTCTTCCATTTTTCTGTAATCATAGTAAACAAATGTATACAAACACACATCTTAAAATTATCATTTTTATGTATTTCACTTAAAATTTTAGAGAATTAATACATATGAGATATATAGCAGTTCACTTACTGTGATGGCGGTGGAGATGATACGGCAGATTGAAAGTTAGTGAAGTCTGCAAAATCACCATTCGCCGTTACTATAAAGATAATTAAATTTTAAAATTTCACTTTAAAAACTTCATGATGTACAGTAAAAAAGTAGTTTTGAAGAAAAAAAATTGAAAGAAATTTGATTTATTATAATAGTTAAGATGATAGAAAAAAAATGTATGGTAAATTCTTGTAATGATATTTTAAAAGTTTTAAAAATCAGCTAAATATTTCCCCTTATCAGTTCAACAAAAATAATATATGATAAAATAGTATGAGTATTGTTATAGCATGAGAATAACAGCCAGCTAATATTGCAGACCAACAACCTAAAAAAATTTTTTTTCTGGAAAAAACACCCTTATCAATTGCAATATTGTTGAAATTATGAAATTTTTGTAAATATAACTGAACAGGAGTTTTATCAAAATGTATTTATAATAATAAAATTAGTTTTAAAAAAAATCACTGAACTGTTTGAAGTTGAGATTAGAGGATTTGATCCCGGGATCTCGAAATTCGGGATACCGGGATCCCGACCACTTTTCAGTCCCAAAATTTTCGGGATTAAGTTTTCCTAATCCCGGGATTTTCGGGATTGACATCATTTTAAAAAAATTGCAAAATAGACTGCATGAAGCGAAACGTTCAGTGCCAGTGCTTTTAACAGAATTGCTTGCCTATCATTTTAATATAAAATACAAGAAATTTTATTCCAAGCAAGCAGCAGAAATTAACCAAGCGGGCTTGCGATGCTTGCTTGGAATAAAACTTCTTGTATTTTCAACTAAAATGATAGGCAAGCAGTTCTCACTGGGTTACTTGGTAATATACTTCATTTTTGTATTTTTGAATTTTCGCGGGCGCCAATCGATTTTCTGGCGCAGTCAAGAGCACTACTCAGTGCGTTTTACCTGTCAATGTGTCAGCCATCTTGTTTTGCCAGTGTGGTTAATATAGACCTGACGCCTCTCGCTTAGGGGGGTCGACCTTAGGTGAAAAGGTTATGACCCTCGCCTTGCCCGCGATCTGTCAGGATGATGCGAGAAAGTCTTTTTACGTTTCGGGGTAGTGGTTTGCTGGACGCTGAGAGACTCACACAGAGACCGAATTTACAAAATTAACGCGTTTATTTTTAGAAAGACATGCTTACAATGATCGAAACAATCGGGATTGTAGCCTTTACTCCTACAATCCCGATCCGTGTCGACCGGACTGTTTTCTTCCATCCTCCCCGTGTCCTCGAAGCTTATAAGTATTTACTAACGATTCCTCCAACTTCCATCAAACCTAAACGCGTTTTCTCAGCAGCTGCATATATGTGCAACAAATTGAGAAGCAGACTTGGTGATGAGACACTGGATGCGTTGTTATTTCTCAGATCATATTTTCGCAATTCAAATTAGAATGTTCCTATTAGATTAGTTTTCTTTATATTTAAGAAAAATGTGACTGATTAATATTATTTTTAAATACTTTTTGCTAAGAAACTTACTTTACTACCTACTTACTAGGTTGTTATATGAAAGTAGTCTATTTAGTCGATGTTAAGAGAGATTTTTGTTAATTTTCAACGTTTATTTGCATAGTTTGTTACATAAAGGTTTTTTCAATTTATGTGAGTTTAAAGAGATCTCAGTGATGCTTAAAAAAGAATAAATTTAACATGAAGACAGTGATTTTAAGTCTGGTTAGTCTGACTGTAAGTCTGATTAATTAGAGTGATTAAATTAACTAGGTGTATACCGTAAAATACGTTGATTTTTGTCTAAATTTTGATTTTTAATTTCTGTAAGATTTTCTTATTTTTTATTAACCCTCAATACCGAAATAATCCCGGGATCGAATAAGTATAATCCCGAAATCCCGGGATTAGAAATAAGGACCGGGATCGAATTCCCTAGTTGAGATATATATGTTACTGTGAATGACTGATATCTGGCAAATGTCAGCATTCACACAGTCATTTCGTGTATGTACGAAATATTTGCTAAATATCATTATTTCTCACTTACACCGGCCAATGTCGACATTCAGCATGCATTGATGGTGAATGTTGAATAAAAATATTTTTATTACATTAAGACAAAAATACAACTTTTTAATATATATGTCAAAATAGGAGAGAGCTTAAGTAACAGCGCATGTAAATAAACTGTTGAACCTAAAACGAACAGTACATTCTGAATCATTAAAGAAAATAATACAATAATAAACTTACAAATAAATTATGTGATTAACGTTATACAATCTCATTTATTGCATTATTAAACTGTTATGGCACTTTGAATTGCACAAGAATCCCTTGCTTTTTACAAGTGCATTTATTTGTGGAACCTTCTTTTTGCAATGACAGTGTGTATAGCCTTGCCCTCCACTTTCCGAATTAGCTGCAGCTGCTTCTCTCAGCGATATTTCTTGAGAAGAAATCTCATCTACGGAAAGTAACTTTTCTTTACCAATTACGAATTGATTACATGTATAAGGGTACCATTTTTGTTTGCTAATTTATAAAAGTCGGAGTCTTCTATTCTAACAACAACCGCCAACACATTTCGGGCATCTATACGGCCACAATCAACATCAGGGACTTGTATTCGTATCGTATCACCAATTTGAGCTGAAGGAAATTTTCATTTTGAGATTTTCGTTGCTTGCAGTAGAAGATTCTTTTGTGGCTGCTCTTTTTATAGATATAACTTTGTGTTGTTCAGTCAGGGCTTGATATGAAGACATGGTGGGTTACAGCTCCTCTTCAATATTTTCCTTTGGAATATGGTATTTGTTATGGCCACTGCTCAAATTTTCTTCAAAAGTATTAACAATTTCTTCGACCTCCACCAAAGCTTATCTGTGCTTATCAACATATACCAGTGATTGTTCGAATGTATAATAATGTAATCAAATATTCGGTCTTTCACCGATGTACTTTGTATGCATCGACATTCTCTAATTTTGGTCTTTCATAGTAACATATACAGTCGACCCCCCTATAACGTGTGTTCCTATAACTTAGCGAAAAAATTGTAGCAACATTCGTATAAAGTACCTCCTATAATGTCGTTTCGCGACAAGATTGATAGAATCTGGACCAATAGTGGATGAGCAGCCGAACTACTTTCCTCCGACCCTGCGCCACGCTACGGAGCAGTAAATTGAGTTTGCTATCATCTGTACAGTATTATATATAAATTAGGTACTGTATATATAATTATATATTAACTTATTGTAACTTTATTATAATTAAATACATAATTTCCGCCGTCTAGCTTGGCGCCACGCTATGGAGATTTTAGGCAATAAGTTGAGTTTATTATCGTCTGTACAGTATGTAAATTAGGTACCGTAAGTCTAATACAGCACTAATTTTATACATTTCTTGTGAAAGAAACACTTCTTATTCAACGGCCATAAAAATTATTTATATTAATGATGTCTCCAAAGGTCAAGTTATTTTTCTGCGAAAAATTCGTTATCAGAAATCGCGGCCGCCGTTTCGTGTGCTGTTCCGCGACGAAAACAAGCTTTGAGCAACGGCGTAGTCGAACGGTGCACACTCGGTAAGTAATCCTATAATTTTTTGTTTATAGCATAGTTTATACAGATTATTCCCAAAAAATTATACGTGTTTTGGAAATGTTGAGTGGAATTAGTCTAGAATCGGTTAATTTTATAGAAGAAAACCTTTCAAACAGCCTTAGTCCGTAAAGTTCACACCTATTGGGCTGCGATTGGCTCATGTATTTAATCATTCCTACAACGTAAAATTCGATTAGCATGGAACGTATCTAAGCGTTATAGGGGGTCTACTGTATATTACATAGGCTGACCACCATTAATCTGGCATCATTGTGATCTTGCAAAATTACTAATCTGGTATGGTTCCCAGAGTGGTTAGGTTTTTTAAACCCTTTCCACTCTGTCACTAAGGTGGATTTTTTTTAAGCAAGCCCATTATGGGTTTGACCCGACCCACAATGGGGGAGCCAGGTGGTGAAAGAAAGGGCATTGACACATCCAAACAATCCACTCAAAATGGAACCTTTTGATCTGTTCAGATTTGATCCTGGGTCCCCAGAACAGTAGGTTGCAGTTTACATTAGAATATACTTAACTGTGGTTGCTATAAGTTCAAAATCAGAAATATGGACATTGTGAAGTATTATTGTGGTAAATAAAACTCACAAACCTTACTGTGCTTTTGTGAAAACTGTTACATCACTAATGTTTTAGATCCACACCTAAGACTTTCCTCAGGTAGAAAGAACTCCCTAAAACATTGAATCTTTCCAACATTAGGACCTGAGGAAGATCTTAGGTGTGGATCAAAAACATTGGTGATGTAACAGTTTTCACAACTAAGTGCATAATAAGGTTCCTGAGTTTTATTTACAGTAATTAACACTTTGTTGTTTAGTGGTAAAATTTGATGCATGCCCAACATTAAATAAGCAGTAACTACTCTGGAAAATAAGTAGATAATTCTAATTAAAGTAATCTTATTGAATTAGTCATACTTGTTTGACTTTTTATTGATTTTCATCAATTTTGATGCCATTGCACCCACTACATAAGGCCAACAGAATAAGATGAAAGTGTTATAAAGGTTGACCTGTGATGACAGCTGTATATGCATGAGTGACATCTACACACATCTATTGCCTACAATTCTTATTTGATGGTTTTTTAATAAAAACTGAAACATTTTTTGGGGAAAAATAGAGAAATCAGCACACTCTGGTAAAATTTTCCAATTGGGACAGTGTTCCAAATTGGACAAATCCCAAAAAATTAGGATATATGACAACCCAACACTTAACCCAACAATTGACCACTTTACCTTATCTTTTAAATAAACCATAAAATCAGTACAAATTAGTTAGTAAACAAATATTAATTAAAAATTCTTGTGAAATTATTGTACAATGTTATTATCATACAAAAAACAATTATTGTATACAGTAATACCTCGACTTACACGAACTCGGAGTTACGTGATTTTCAAATCTCGTCGATTCATCTTTTGTTTGAGTGGCATGCAACTCTT